ATAATTTTGATATTTCTTCTTTCTGTGATTAATTAGGGCCTCTTGTTCCTTATACAACCAAACTTTCTATGGTCACATTATCCAGTTGAATTGATCCTGTCTCTCTACAATTGTGTTATCATGGGGTTTGGCTTTACTACCCATTAAAGTGACCATTGAAGTGAGGACATATGGGACCGAATAGAGCCACCAAGAAACCCATATGTCTGCAAGTAAACCCTGACCAGATAGGCCAAAACGCCTTTATGTTTCTCTGTTGCATAAATTTAAGCCTTGGTATCCTTATCTAGAGTTTTTGATATATGTCCCGGGCTACCCATGTGCTCTTTGAGAGGGGAACTATATTAATATAGATTTAAGGGTAAGGTTTTAAATATCGATACGTGTTAAGGTTCTAAATATCCATACGGTCCGATGTGATAGAACGGGCGTATCACAGACTTTTGAACAGCACGTCTTATATTTAGTTTTTTTTCAAACTTGTCAAGGGGTCAGTATAAGGTCTGTTTATCCCCTGAAATAGGGCTAAATCCCAAAAATATAAGGTTTATGTATTGGTAACCCATTGGTACGTATGTATGGACCAATACAGGCAAATATATTGTGAAATATTGATCCTTGCCTAGAGCAATTATGTATTTAGAAGCCCTTAAGGGATGTTGACGAGTCAGGATAAGTAGTAAACCCACACTAACCTTCAGGGTTTAGGTTGAGGTAAATCGAATTCACATGTATGTCTCACAGAGGCGCCCCACAGTACATCCCAATTATGTATTGGAAACATTTTCCAATGACAAGTATGGGAAATGTTTTCAATGCTACCTGAGATGTGCATGTGGCATATTGTGGGGGTACATATGTGAACTCCTTTCTGCGTTGAACTCAATTCATGGACATTGCAGCATTCGAACATTTGTATATGTAAGTTTGGTTGAGTATAATTGTCTTATACATGGACCGGTTGGGTCAAAGTCGATAATTTCTCATTTAGGTGTTGCTTCCTTTAATGACATTCCTTTGATGATGATTCCTTTGATGAGATTACGGATGTGTTGCTTCATGTTAAATTAATTAAGGATGTGTTGCTTCAGGTTAAATTAAGGATGTGTTTGGGATGGATGATGATTCCTTTGATGAGATTTTTCATAAATTATTGACTTTTTAGAAATCAGAGAAATTGTTTGTTTGGTACTATTGCTGTTATGTCAATTGATCTCTCAAAAATGGGCTATGAATTTGTTTGGTAGGGGCGTCAAAGGTATTCGAAAATATGATTTTGAATTCGATATTCGATATAATTGAATAAAATTTGGATAATTTGAATATCTAATCGGTCGAATTCAGATATCCTATTCATACCGAATAGTTAATCGGATTCGAATTTGGATAAGACCTGATCGATTCGATAATAATATCCGAATTCGACTGATTATTTAATTCTTATATATAATATATAAAATATTTTACATAATTTATATATAATAATTAAATTATATAAATAATTTATATATTTATATACTTTATATCAATAAAATATTTATTAATTATCTAAAATAATTAATTAATCGAATCAAATCAAATATTCAATCGGATTCGAATCAGGTATTAATTTTCAATATCCATTGGATATTGAATCGGATTCGGATATCGGAATTTCTAATCAGATTCAAATTTGGATATTGCCTAATCTGATTCGAATATGGTCCATTTACACTCCTAATTATTAATAGTGAATTTTGTTTCAGAGGAACTATCTCTCCTATCCACACCAGATGCACAAAAAAATAGAACCAGCCAACCCAAGTTTAATAATCGATTTTGACCGATTTGCTGATTTCTCAATAATTAACCAATTAAACCATGGTTTTCAAAATCGAACCAGACCGGACGAGCGGACCGAAAAAACTGGGAATCGATCACCTGACCGGTTCTGTTTTTCCTCAAAACCATTGATTTTGGTCAACAAACCGCTGAACCGACCAGTTAATTGTTCGAACCGTTTGAACGGTTTTGACTATTTTTCAAAATTTTCAATTTTTTTTATTTTTTTGTTAGAATGGGCCAACCGTTCAGGTTGTCGCTCAACCCGATAAACGGACCCCTGATCGGTTTGGTCACCGGGTTAGTTTTAAAAACCATGAATTAAACAGAAAAATAATCAACAATTTTTTTAATCTCTGATGTGACACCGATTTTCGATAATTAGATATGGGTTCCAAACGCCACTTCATGGTAGGATGAAGTGGCCAACAATTTGGGGTGGATTCAAGCTGAGCCGAGCCGAGCCGAATAGTACCAAGCTCGAGATCGATTTTGAGAAAAAAATACTTTATAAAAAAAATTATATATATATATATATATATATATATATATATATATATATATATNTATATATATATATATATTCGAGCCAACTTGCGAGCCTTATGAGCCGAGCTCTAATAGGCTCGAGCTCGGCTCATTTAATAATCGAACCACTGAATTGGGCTCGAACTCGATTGAAACCGAGTTGAGCCAAGCTCGACAGCTCATGAAAAGCTCGGCTCGTTGCCACCCCTGCCAGTAATGCTGTTTAATGGTACCACCCTTGCTAGCAATGCTGTTTAATGGTAAAATGGAAATTACATTGGTCATTTGTACTTACATGCCAATCGTGAAAGTTCCATTTTTCTTTATGCTGAGTTTGAAAGAAGTATAAATACAAATTTGTAGAGTAAAGCCTTATATTTTTGTATTATACACATTTGCACTTATAAGCCTTATTTGAAAAATGATAGGATGAAGAAAGTGGCAATTTTGACATGTGGCAAGGCCATAAAGACCATTAATCCATCATTGCCACGTGGACAAGAAGGGGGGTTTGTAAATTTTGACCTGACAAGTATGAGGATGTAAGCCTCGAGTCTAAGGGTGTCCACTTTGTCCTAAAAGGCCGAAGGTTAAATCATTATCCATCTAACCTCTCTGATAGCTCAAACCAACATGGGTTATATAGTGAAAATACATAGGCTGCCAACTGAGGCACCATGTGAAAGATTCTGAGCTAGTCTAGATCTTTTTGCCAGATAATTTATCTAACAACTCATTCCCTTTTAGCCTGTTTGGTCACCATGGGAGAGTAATGGTTTCATTTCATATTCTTTATGCATTTAATCCCATACCTCTATCATCAACATCTAAACCTTACTTGAATCTTATTTTATCATTTGGTTCTGACCATCCCTCTATCATTTGATTAAATCAATTCATTTCAGGTTGTTTGGTAAAACAGCAAAAGATATCACCTCCAGGAAAATTTGAAGTAACCTCATTCCAATGTTTCATTGCCAAGCAAGATTGGATCCATTTTAGATGGCAGACTTGTGTTACAAGGTGTAAAGGTGGTATTACCTAATTAAGGTTGTGTTTGGGTAACCCCAATTTTATGTTCTGTGCCTTGAGCCTTGAAAATGTTCAGGCTTTTAGCTTTAGGATGTTATGTTTTCAAAAGCAACCCTTACCAAAAGATCAAAACACCTTTTTGCTCATAATTGTTCCCATAGCCCATAGATCAAAAGCAAAGAAGCCATCCAAACGGAGCCTAATTTTAAAAAGTTTGGATTTGTTTTCTGAACATAATTAAATAATTAGCCGTGCTGTATTAAAAAAAAATTCGCACCATATGACCTAGTTTATATTAACCTTAATCTGGACCGAGTAATAAAAAAAAAAGAACAATATAATGTGTATTCAGTCAAAGAATGTGATATAATTTAATGCCTTTTGACATCTTTACAAACCCTAGTTGCTCTTCTTTCATATTTATGTCCACGCAAGTGGATTAACAATGAACCCCATGATTCCCCAATTGAAGGGGAAGCAAGGAACCTTCTTGGCCCCACCCTCTCTCTCTGTGAATGGTCAAGATCTACTGCCAAGGCCCTAGGATCAAACCTAATCCAACGATCAAAGACAAAAAATTCCAATCCAACAACACTTGCCAAAAAGTATGAAAAAGAAGGATTAAATGACCAAAATAACCTTGTTGCCACCACTCGTCCATGAGGGTATTCCCGGGATTGAGAAAATAGCCGTATAAAAAAGGACCAATATCTTACAATCTTCCAAATAAATTCGTCTTCCCTCATTAGATTTAGATGGCTACTGCCTACTAGGCTACTAGTACTGGTCCTTTATTGCATAAATTACTGAAACAGTTAAATGACAAAAGTAACCCTTTCTCTGTTTCACTTTCATCAGTCTTACTATCTTGTCATATGAGGGTGGTTTTGGTCATTTCGATGGTTATCGCATGTATTAAATGAGAGCTGTAATGGACTTTGGCGAACTGCCATTAGTACTGTTCCAACCGTGCTAAAATAAGGAAATAAATCGATAATTAAAAGGGAGAATGAGATTGCGCCACGTGTCAAGCATGCTCGACTCCGAGCCTGGCGGACATCAAGGCTATTTAAACGGGAAAGGATTCGTTGAGGCAATTATAGTGGTCCAGCTCAGCACCAGATATGCGTTTGCCGCGTTTTTCTTCGCGTCGATTTGTCGTCTCACTCACAGCTTCTGGGTTCGTCAAATCCCCAGCTAGCCGAGTGAACTACTGACTGAACTGCTTCTGCTCCGCTAAGCGCTAACTTACGCTTCTGGTGTCCGCGTCATCCAATTGCTTAGTTTGACTTGATTTTGCTAGAGATCAATTGGGCGGCTAAGATCGGATCTTCTAGTCAGTCCAAATTGGTCAAACAAATCAATAATGGCCCACACAAAATCTGAACTCATGGAAATCTTGTTGGTTGATTGCTCGATTGTTTGTTCCTCTGACTATAATCTGGAGTTCTGAAAGCTCGTGTAGTCACGTTTGTACGGGATCACTGATTTGTAAAAGGAATGCGCATTACGCATATGGTGCGTTTTAGAATGGTGCTGCGAGGGCATCCAAATTATCGCGAGAAGACAGGAAAATGGATAAGGAAAAATAAAAAAAATTAAATTTAGGATAATAAATATGGTTAACTATGAAGTGTGAAGACAGGAAAACCTATTTAAAATCTGAGTTTGATTTGAGTGGGGAATCCTGCGGACAAAGAGGTCTAAGTTGTTTCCATGCAGCGAAAATGGCGGGGCTGTTCGATTCCCATGTTTGCTAGGTTCTCGGATCAATGTTCTTCTCGGACAATTACGCGGTAATCCAGTTCCTCTCCTGATTTCTCTGCCTCCAACCAACTTCACTCTTTTCTTTTCGGATTACAGTTTGGTTCTGTTTTGTCTGAATTCCCTGTTTTAGGGTTTTTAGGGTTTGAGTGAATATCTTTCTCGTGTTTCTTGGCCCAAACTTTTGGCAGATTTGGTTCCCTAAGGCTCTGGATCGGTGGATTTGGAGTGTTGAACTGAATTGTGGTGATTTGCTTATAGAGCTGTGAAATGCTGGTTTCGGAATTTTGAGTCTTTGATTGATCGGGTCTTCGTTCTGTGATTGAATTTCGACAGACAAATAAGTCGGTTTTTAGTGGAATCTAAGGTTGCCTTCACTTGGCATTGAGTCATCAACTGACGATCTTTGTCGCGTCGGCTGCTCTCGGTGGAATTTGAATTTCTTTTTGGATTTTTAATTGGTTTGCTGTTGAAGTGGGATAGTTACAGCCTGTAGTGAAAATTTGTTGGAAGTAAGTGGAAACCTTGATCAACGTAAGTGATATATGTGATTTTAAATCTTCTTCTGCCAAACTGCAAAATTTTCTTTACCTAGTTGATCTCGATACTACGAATGCGGAACGAATGAAGCTGGTGTTTTTTTCTGGAGTTGAGGGCCCAGAGGAATTGAGATTGTTATTATATTTGGATAGAAAGAAGGATGAAAAGTTGAATGGATGCTAGTTTTGACTTGTTAAGGTACTTGTTAATCTTAAACTAGAGAAATGGATTCGGCAAGGAATTGGTTCCATAAGTTTCAATCTCGAGATAAATTGAAGTCTTCAACTAAAAAGAAGGAATCGCCTGGTAAAGAAGGGTCAAAGCCTCCTATCAGTGAAGAAGCACCTTCCAATGTCACAAAGCAGAAGGTTGCAGCAGCAAAGCAGTACATAGAAAACCATTACAAGGAGCAGATGAAGAACCTGCAGGAGAGGAAGGAGCGGTATGGCTTCCAAAATTTTCAATTTTTTCCCCTTGAGATAAATTTACTAGTATTCATTGATTTTGATCAATCAAATTAGAAAAAAAAACCAGTATTCTTGAAAAACTTTAGTTTTCATTTGTTTATTTTTTTCCTTTTTTTGTTGATAACTAGTACAACTGGGTATGTCTACCCTATCCATCTTTCTCTGTCATCTGGTTGTTTTTTTTTTCGTTTTTCTTTTGCATGGAAGATGGTGGGTTTTCTTTTAATTGACTGAGAAAAATTTATTGAAGCTGCAAACATAAAGGTTAGAATAGAAATTTTAAACTCACGAAGAGTATCAAGTCTGTCATTGATCTTTTATTTACTTATTTGTGGATTATGCTATCATTGATTCTTTATATATTCCGATTATTGTGTATAGCTTTACTATGCATACTTTACGGGCAAGCAAATCTATATGTTTTGCCTACTTCTTATGGTTCGTCATGGCCCTTTTATGTTATACATGCTTAATGCCACAAGGAAAGCTAAACAGAGAGTGCCATAACTAATTCTGGACTACATTTTCATGATTAAATCTGGAGGATGTCTACTCATGAATTCAGCAAGCAGTGCATCTACTGTTTTTTTTTTAATTTTTCACCATCGTGCTTTATTTGGGTTTTGAGTAGTTAATCAGGCCTAACTTCTCTTTGATCTTATTGCTTACATGATGAGGTTTAACTTATCTTTGGTATTTGAGGCATTATATTCTGATATTGTTTTGGTAATAAATAAAAAAGAAAATCTATTGAAATAATATAGGAAGAATACATCAATGTGACAGGATAGATAATAATGGGACTGTCTACTTTGATGGCTTATTTTGTCCCATCTAAATACCAACTTGAGTAGCATTGTAGTTCCTGCAAATGTGATAAGCCAAAAATACTCCATTTTATTCAAAGGATTAATAAGAAAACATTTGATGGAGTCTTTTTTCTTTTGTGTGGGGTAGTATTGGGGTGATAAGTAAGTAGTAATTGTATTGATTATAAAGAAAGTCGGAAAATCTCCTATGTGAATTGTATGAGTTTAGCCTGCTAGTATAATCATCGAACCATAGAGGCTATACGGAAAAATACAATAAAAATGTACTTTGGTACTTTTCTAACTTAAAGGTGGAGAACCAAAATTTTATCTCAACTAAAATATAAGACTGAAAAGTATATTATGATGAAGACCTTGGCCACAATGGCACCCAGAAAACTAACTCTTATTGTAAAAAACTATGCTGGTTGGTCTCTTTCTATACTATCCAACAAGTTGTGGAGGGAAGGAAATTCCAAATTATATGGCCTTTTCTACTGAATCTGTGAACTGTGTGAGCTATTGTCAGTTCAGTGAGGATACAGTGGATGGCCCAACTCAGCCTAGGAAGCCTCACATGATAGGACCAGATTTTTTGAGACAAGGGGCAAAAAAGAAGGGAACTGACTCCTTGCTCTCCTTACACATAAGTCACTCGATTTGAATTGTGAGAGTGCTGGGACATGAGATGGTTCATTGTTAGAGCTTTGACCAATAAGGGGTCCACATTAAGAAAGTCACTGTTGTTGGAACTATGAGGGCTCCAAACAATTCCAGCTGGAAACTTGATCTACCTTCACCCCTTAAAGCAAGTGCATATGATTTACTTGAGTTGTAATGCAGAAAAAAAAATAAGAAAAGTGATGGCACTAAGGAAGAGAATGAAAGAAATGAAGGAAGAAGAGAAGAAGAGAAGAAGAGAAGAGAATGATGGGAGAGAACAATCAAATTGTGGGGGCTGTTATGCTTCCCATTGCTATTTATATAAGTTGTTGGAAACAAAAGACAAATTACAAATATGCCCCTAACTAGGTTACAACACGAAAAGTAATAAAGTCAACATAGCTATCGAAGACCCCAAGAGAAGTCAGAAGTCAATAACTAACCCCAAGAAAAACAAGCTATTATTAGCCCATTTCTCAACACTCCCTTGTCAAGTTGAGCATAGAGATTTATCATGCCCAGCTCTTGTGAAGCCACAAAAGGAAGGCACACCTCTCTAGACAATATTCTTTCTCTGGTGAAGTGTCTGTCTACTTCAATATGCTTTGTTATGTCTTGTTGAAGTGGGTTATGGGCTATGTTAATTGCTCTGATTATCATAGTAGATCATCATTGTTTTTTCATAAACAGCACCTAGTTCCTTTATAGTGATTTGACTTAAAGTATTACGCATCTTAAAAGCATTACGAGCCATAGCTATGTACTTTGCTTCTGCATAGGATCGAGCTGCAGCTAATTGTTTCTTGTTTCGCCACAACACCAAATTTCCTCCAACCAATTTATAGTATCTTGATGTGGACCTCTTGTCATCCAAACATCCAGCCCAAAGAGCATTCATGAATGCCTCAATCTTTTTTTTATTGATAAGTAATAAGAAAAGTATTGTATTAATAGAAAAGAGGAGGGCAAGTAGCCCTCAATCATATACAAAAAGAAGTGTGCCTTAAACTATGCACAGATCATATACAAAGAGAGCTTTTTAAAAGAAAACTCAAAAAATGATGGACCACCAATGATCAGAGAAAGAGCTGCTAGGCACATCCACAAAAAGCTTCAAGCAACCTTTCCACCTTCCCTAGGACCACCTCCACTGCATTGGAGCTGCTAGGCACACCCAAAAGACTGCAAAAGGCAGGCTATTCCACAAGAAATGGTCTTTGTCCAAGAACCAATTTAACCTCCAGCCTGAGATTTAATTGGCCACAGAGGCAGGGGGAACCCAGACTAGGTGGAACAACCTAATGAAATGACACCAAACCTGATAGGTATAGGAACAGTGAATCAATAGATGATGGATGGATTCAGATCCTTCCCCACATAGGCTACAGGTGGTATCCAGCTCCATTCCACGCCTGAACGGATATTCAGCAGACTGGACCCTATCCCTAACAGGCAACCAGACAAAGAACTTGATCTTCGAAGGAGCCTGAACCTTCCATAACCAGAATCATGGGACCTGTTCGCCTTCACCAAAAGAAACCTTGTAGCAACAACTGACTGAAAACCGACCCTCCCTCCCTTTCGACCACAGCTTGACATCCCTGGAATTAGGATTGGGTTGGATAACAATCAAACTGCATAACAGCCCTCCCAAGAGATCCACTTCCCAGTCATTTAAAATTCTATGAAATCTGGGAACCCACACTACCTGTCCATCTCAAAGAACTCTTTAACAGGCTGTCCTCAATCTTCATTTGGTCATGTTTTACAAATAAAATTCTCCTACTAAACTGTCCTTTTGGATATGCGACAATCCTCTTAGGAGCTACTAAATGTGAGTTTCTAGGAGCATGCAGGTACTGCCTAATAATATTGATAGCGTATGAAATATCAGGTCTAGTTTACAAAGTTATAAATATAATTACTTTCTAACCAAACATTGGTACCATCCCCTGTCTTCTAGTATCTGTCCTACTAAAAGCTTGCAGTTTGGATCAATGAGAGTATTGGTTGTGGTTTAACGCTCAATTGTCCTGTTTCTTTTAACAAATTCAGCACATACTTCGTGAAATAAATATTCCACTCCTTGACCTGGCAACTTCTATTTCCAGAAAATATCACAGATGACCAAGGTCCTTAATCTCAAATTCACTATGAAGAAAGGCCTTCAATTCGTCAATTTTTGGTACATCATTCCCTGTTACTACTATATCATCAAGATACACAATTAAGTCAGTTAATCTGGAGTCTTTCTTCTCGATGAACAGTGTGTGATAAGATTGAGCTTGAGTAAACTCTAAACACACCAAATCACTCTTAAGCCGATCAAATCAAGCTCTCAAGGATTGCTTGAATCCATAAAGGGACTAATTAAGTTTGTATACTTTCGTCCTCGCTACATCACTATAGAACCTAGGAGGAAGTTCCATGTATACTTTTTCATGGAGGACCCATCTAGTTGATACGCCCATGGAGCTTAATCATTAATTAGAGGAGAGTAGGGGAGAAATATTTTCAGATGTTAAGCAGTTCCAGAGGTTGATTGGGAGACGACTCTTATATTTGTCCATGGCCATGGCAAACATTACCATGCTTAGAGATTTCTTAGTGAGTATACACATGCCCTTAGGATTTCATATTTTGTTGTTGTTGAAAGGGTGCTTAATTATTTAAAGAAGCACCCTATGATAGGTATTCTCTTTTCTAAGCACAGTCATATTAGAGGTAGAGGCATGCAACGATGTTGATTAGGTAGACTCAATCGATGACAGTGGATCTACTATTGACTATTGATCATTTGTATGTGGAAACTTGGTAACATGGCAAAGTGAAAAACTAAAAATAAGGTGGTTGTGGCCAGATCAAGTGCAGAGGCAGAGTATTGTGCTATGGCACATGGCGTAGGTGAAGTTCTATGGATAAGGAATTTGTTGAACAAGTTGGGGTTCCCTATAACCAGCTTTGTGTAACTCTGTTGTTCAACAAGGCTGCGATAAGTATAGTTCACATTCTGCTTTGGTTAGTGTTTTAAAGGCACAAGTTGCAAGAAAAATGCAAGGGCCTTCTAGTGCCTGAAACTTTGAGTATGGATTGTACCAAAGCACTTTAGGCATTCAACAATTCAAGCTTGTGAAACTTTGAGTATGTTTATTTTTCTCCTACTTGCATTACTTCAAGTAGCTAGGATGTTAAACATCTTGCATTCCTAGTCCTAGGAGATTGTCCCTCTGCCTGTATAAAAGCCCCTTGAGGCAAGCCCAAACAAGTCCATGTGGGGGTTTGGGGCAGCACCCTAACCTAAATCGTTGGTCTATATATGTAAAAGGGTTGATTTTGTGAGTCATAGTTCATGCTATTTTAGGATTAGGAATCAGATATCAGTTGTATTGTTGTTGCTTTTTTAGTGGAAATTTTGCTATTTGGGATCCTGTGTGCAAGAACTAAGGCTTCAAGTATTTAAACAGTCTTTGTTTTTATTTATTCTATAAGTTAATTGACCAACTAGTGTACAAACAGCAATAAAATGCAATTTGGAAGCTGATAAACCATTAGAAAGGTGTAAAACACATAAAAACATATTTATAAAAGGCGTTTGCCTAGGCTGAGATGCAAGACACACAATGCGTGTACCTTTTGAAAGGGGTTGTTCCTGAGTTCAGACAACACACACGCCTTAATACATGCCTTTCCTATGCATAGACACATATGTTAAAAATACTGGGTTCAGTCTGATTGAACCAAGCACATCAATGTAGATGCGCACTCCATTAGAAAGTGGAAATGTCTACCTTATGTAAGCTCCAAAGTTTAACTAGTTAATGTATACACAAAAAGTATTCATACCCTGTGTTACTGTGAGCTTTGTAACAAGTTGGGCATGTATGGCATATATGACCCAACGTGAGGGGGAGTGTTGTATTTGTATGTATTGTCAGATGCTTTGGTCAAGTTGGGCATGTATGACATATATGACCCAACGTGAGGGGGAGTGTTGTAATTGTATGTATTGTCAGATGCTTTGGTCTTTGCACTTATCTTTTTTTTTATCAGCAACACAAAAATTGATTCATTAATTTTAAAATGAAGATATACAACAAGTTGTGTGCAGAGGTAACAAGCCCAATGTCTTTGTACATATCTTTATGTCCACCCTAATAAAATAATAGAGTGGGTGCCACCACTCCCACTTGATCCTTCTCCCAAACTTTTTTATCTCTCTCATTTCTCTCTCTTCTCTTTTCTCTTATGGCTGACATTACCATCTTATTTTATGATGCACATATAAGGGTTTGTAATAAAAAAAGATGAGTTAGGTACTCCCTTCAGTTCATTGGACTTTTTTAGGGTAAAAACAAGGTTTAAAATGTCGATGTCGATGGAAATGTCGCTTACCAAAATATAGGACAAATGTCGGAAATGTCAGAAATGTCGAGGGGAAATATTGTAAAAATTAGAGACATTGTGGAAATATTATGAAATATGTGGCAATATGCAATGATATTTTGTAAAGTGATAAAATAAGCATTATTACATATTTCTAGACTATTATCTTATTCCCAACCAKTATATAAAGCTAAGAAACTAAGATCAATAACAAATTAGTAAATGACGATTTACCGATTTATTATGCATTTTGATGTTTTTACAAGGTTATCTGATATTTTTTTTTTCATATTTTTAATTCTGATTTGTTATAAATTCTAAATACATTATGTTTCATTATAAATTTAATAAACTGATTCTCCTTTTTGTAGTATTAAGATTATGATAAATTCTGATTTCTTATAAAACTTAATGAATTCATTATGATTTTTAATACTAAACTTATAATAAATTATAATTTAGTATAAAATTTAATAAATTTATTCTGATTTTTTTATATTAAATGTAGAATATGATTTATTATAAAATTTAGTAAACATTTTCTGATTTTAATAAATATTTTAAAAAATACTAACTAATTAATATTTTATTACTTGAAAAATATTTTATGTTTTATATTATAAAGTAATTTATTTATTCTTTTGTTTTTATATTTTGTTAATTCTTTTTTATAAATATTTTATTTGAAATATTAAATAGAAATTATTAATGGAATAATTTATATTAATATACTGTATTATAATAATATATTATATTATTAATGTACATTAGTCGACATCCTGTCGACATAAAAGGAAAAACTGTCTTTTTTTTGGTTATTTGGATCGATTTGGTCGATATTTCTAAAATATAGGAAATGCCAACTGAAATAATGTAATTTTTATATTACCATCCATTTTCATGTCGGTGAGCTTCGACATCGACATATGTTGGGTGACATTAGCGACATTTCGCAACATTTGAAACCATGGGTAGAAAGCTATGAAAGGATTGTACTCTATTTTTCTGTTTTTTTTTTTCCAAGTAAATGAGCTAGATTATGGTGGGTACCTGTCCCCCAAAACCCTATCTCCTCCACCCTGATGAAGGCAGGATTCGATCCCAGATCGCTGCCACAACCAGCAAGAGACTTTACCAGCAAAGCAGCTGACACCTTCAAAAGCACTGTGTCTGTGTCTATTTGTCTTTTTAGAACTTCAATGGCTTATTAGTTTTGAAATATCTGGACTTTTTTTTTGTTCCATATTGCTATATGATAGAAAAATGAAAATCCTATGAATTTTTAGGTTTTCACAGAAAGCCAGTTGACTTGTTAGGTTTCCTCAAGTACTTGTACTTTTATGCATCTTTATTGATCAATCATTATAACGAAAAAAACCTTTTCTGGAAGATCTATATTGCCATAGTTTTCAAGGTGCCAAGGTGAGGCTAGGTGATCATGGGGCGCCCAGACGCCTAGCCCTTGCCTAGGTGATGGAATTTAAAAATAAGAAGCCAATGGATTTCTATCCCTTCTGAACTAGTTTTTTTGGTTTTATGTATTCTGCACTTTTGTGCTTGTGTTTCTTGCAGTGTTGCTTCAAGTAGGCAAAACAATATATTAGAGTTGCAACTTACAAGTTAGATGTTAGAACGTAAAAGAACTTAAGGGCGCGGAGCCCCTATTTTAGATCAACAAAACATAGGGAACAAATACTAAAATAAAAGAAGAAAATGAAGAAGAAAAGTAGGGGGCGGAGCCCCTGTTCTTGACCCAGAAAGCCTGGTGAAAAAAATATTAAAATAAAAGAAGAAAAGAAGGGACGGAGCCCCTGTTCTAGACCCAGAAAAGCTGGTGAAAAAAATACTAAAATAAAGGAAGAATATGAAGAATAAAAGAAGGGGTGGAGCCCCTATTCCGCTCCTGTTTCAGACACCAATAATGAGAAAAAAACAGCTGAAAACATGCAAGAAATTTAAGAACAAAAGATGGACTGTGTGGGAACGATGGAGGGCTGTTGTTCTCTCCTCTTCCTCGGTTCGATTCATTTGTCAAAGTGAAGCCCTTGAAGATTAATTTTGTTTTTTACTTTCCTCGCAACAAAAACACGATAACATGCAACAGGTTCTATTATAAAAACTAAAACCAACCAATAAAATATTATATATTTTATATTTATTTTATTTAATAAATATTATATATTATATATTAGTTTCAGTCCCCTAAGCATGCGCCTAACATATTTTTTCCTGGCGTTTGGGCGAGGCTCTCTTTGAAAAGTTCCTAGTCGCCTAGGTGTCGCCTTGACAGCTTTGTATGTTGCATAATGCTTGTTGATTTTCTTTCCTGATTTATTAGAACTTTGAGTAATTAAGTACTTAACCATGCTTTGTCTTTAATCAGACGCAATATATTAGAGAAGACATTAGCTGATGCTGATGTTTCTGAGGAAGAGCAAAGTAGTCTACTAAAACATTTGGAGAAGAAGGAAACAGAATACATGCGCCTTCAGAGGCATAAAATGGGTGCTGATGATTTTGAGTTGTTGACAATGATAGGAAAGGGTGCGTTTGGAGAGGTATGCCATTTGTTGCATGATATCTGATGATCTCCTTAGCTAAGATACTGAATTTCTTTCATTTGTATTGCATGTTTTTGCCAGACTAGCTATTCTGTTGTAGTTGCTTTCTCTAAGCCCATTAACTCATCCCTCAGCTCCCACTTTTACAAGTGCTTTTTCTATTTCATCCTAATAATTATTTAGAACTGTTGAAGCATTGATAGAACAGCCCATCACTAAATACAAATGTTATTAATATATGATAGTAAATGAAGTTGATAAAAACTCCAAGTTAGGCTTACAAACCTAGCACATTATAAATAAACATTGAGAAAAATTAGCTCTACAAAATTAAGCCCATCACTACAAAATAATAAAAAAGATAAAAATCATATAGTCAAGATGCATCAAATGATAACTAATTTATCTTTTCGATATAGAACTGGATACAAGTTTGAAGCCAAAAAGAAACTAAGAGAGATAAATTGAAGCAATAGGTTCTTGTTTTGGATAGTAGTAGGTAGATTCCATGGTTTGCTAATTCCTCATTCAATAAATGAAAAAAAAATCTTGGGAACTGCATGCACTTCATAAAATAAAGCTCAATTTCAATGAATGCCGCCATGGTAACCCTGGAAACTCAGGCATTGAATAGGCTTTCAGAAATTCGACAACTCTTTAGCATTTGCTATAAACTTATCAGTTACTAATCAAAAAAAGAAGAGGAAAAGGTGTGGAGGAAGAATAGATGCAAGATCTTGACCTCCCTCATCATAGTTTGATACAACAGACAGCACTTTAAAGATCGACACTGGATTGGTGTGCCCCTCTGTGTAAAAATATACTCTTTGCAAAGTACATGAATCCATGGGACCATCTCTAGTATTTATGTCCATAATATGCTGTTTCCCATCTATGTAGGACAGCAAATGTATCCAAAACAAAAGCCACCTTAGACAGGGAAACCTCCTCTCCCTTTCCTTTTCATTTTGGTGGTAGAGGTTCTGAGTAGGTTGATCTCTTAAGGCTAGCTAGTTGCATCTCTTTAAAGGATGAGTGGTGGGAAGGAATAGAGTGTGGTTTCCCATCTCCAGTTTGCAGATGATTCTTTTGTGATGGGGAAAATACAAATGGGGTTGGAACAAGAGTGCAGTGGTGGGTATGAATGTTTTTGAAGAGGAGTTGGGTGCATTTGCAGAGATTTTGAGGTGTGTGGCCTTTATAATATTTTGGTTTACCTCTTGGCGACAATCTGAGGTCTGTCAGCTTTTGGAACCCTGTGGTGGAGAGAATTGAGAAAAGGCTTGCTGGATGGAAAAGGAATTACATCTCTTCAGGGGGGAGAATTACATGCATCAAATCCACCTTGGCTAACCTCCTTGTCTATTTTATGTTTTCTTTTGATCAATAACTTTGAAAAATTTTCATTAATTAGAAAACTTCAGGATACAACAAGAAGTTGTGAAAGAAATCAGCTTTAGTAAGATGATCCAGGACAGAGTTACAAATGTGCCCAAAACATGTGTTCTTTTAACCACCCCTTGCTTTGCTAAACTATCTGCCAAACTGTTGGCAGATCTCCAAACCCATCCCACCTGGATTGACATGTTCCTTAACATCCATTTAAATCTTCGGAAATCATTCTTCAACTTCCATGTCACCTCTTCCCCTTTCTGCAACCATTTTATCACAGTTTTTGAGTCTCCCTCGATGATCAGTCTATTAATACCCAACTCTTTAGCCTTCTCAACCCCATATGCTGCAGCTAGAAACTCTGCCCTTGCCACATCACCATCCTCCACAGGACCGGAGTACAGAGCAATAATGAGCCCATTTTCATCTCTAATGGCCCCCCCGATGCCTGAAGGACCTGGGTTACCCACACAACTCCCATCAAAGTTCAGCTTCTTCCAACCATCTGTTGGAGGAGACCAAGCCTCAAAAAACTGTTGTCTTGTAGATGATGAGGCAACAATAAGTCCCCAAACCCTGAAAAAGTCTTCGACCTTAAAAGCTGAAAACAACTTTAAGCTTTTTACCTAATGTGCCACCATCAATGTTATTGTTTCAACAAAAGCTTCCTTGCATTTTTCTTTTCCTTTAAATATTCTATCATTTCTTTCCTTCGAAACGGTCCAAAGTATTGTTGCTCTAGTACACCCCCATAGAATCCTACCCCTCCTTTTCATGCCATTGATACCATTAGGGCTGAATAAACCTTCCACCCTGTCAGGAGAGACCACCTGCACCCAAAAAAGGAAGTAAACCAATTCCAAATAAAACTGACAAAAGGGCAAGATATTAGAAGGTGGAAAGCAGTCTCACCACTCTACTTACACAGGACACACCAGTTAGGGGACAAGCACCAATTTGGTCTTTTCCTTTAAAGTACATCAAAGGTATTAATACAACCATGAAATACTTCCCAACAAAAAGCACTGATTTTAGGGGGAGTAGGAGGGCATCAAAACTGGGAAAGGAAGAGAAGATTGTGTGGCAACCAACGAATATAGAAGGGATTTACAAGAAAACGACCCATCAGAATTAGGACCCCAAATCCTAGAATCTGACCCACCTTCTCCCAAGAATACTGAATTCAGCAATCCTAACAGTTCGGACACTGCAAGAAGTTCAGACTCTCTAAGGTTCCTGTTAAAGCTAAAGTTCCAATTTAACTCTGGAAGGTGAGATGGTTGACTTAGGAAATCTGAAATGGGCTTACCCTTGAACCTGGACAGATCACAAAGAGAAGGAAATTTCTCACCCAAAGGAGTATCCCCAATCCACACATCCTCCCAAAATCTGATTTTACTACTAGAAGACAAGTTGTACCTGATATGATTTAGGAAGGTAGGGAGAATATCATGGATGGCCTTCCAGGGAGCAGCCAAGGTAGCCCTACGGAGACATCCAACATCCCATCCGTTGCTTGACATGCCATGAATGCTTGCAACCACTTTGTGCCATAATTTCTCATTTTCATTTGGAAATCTCTAAAGCCATTTGCAAAGCAAAGCCTGATTCTTCAGTTTAACATTACCTATTTCCAAACCCCCTTCCACCTTCAACTTCCTCACTTTTTCCCATCTAACCAAATGATCCTTTTTTTTTTTTCTCTTGGCTCCCAAAGAAAATCCCTCATGATTTTTTCAATTTTCCTCGCTATCCCTTGTGTCATCCTAAACACTGACATGTAGTAAATTGGAAGATTTGCTAAAGTAGACTTAATTAGGGTTATTCTCCCCCTCCCCCCAATGAGATATGGTTCCTTTTCCACGTTGCCAAGCGTTTCTCGATCCTTTCCACCACCGGAGACCAAAAATTAGCAGATCTAGGGTTGTCTCCAAGGGGTAAACCCAAGTATTCCATTGGCCACTCACCTTTCTCACATCCTAGGGAATCCTCTTCAGTGTTGGTTCCAACCAATAAGCTCTTTGACAAATTAATCCTCAAATTAGACATCCTCTCAAAAAGTTTCACAACCAGCCTCAGATTTTCTACTCCCTCCCTACTTTCTCCATCACAAAAAATAAGAATATCATTTGCAACTGTGAGTGACCAAAACATTATCCCCCCCAACTGACCAACCCCTAAAAGTTGCATGCAATTTGCTCTTGAAATCAATTTACTTAGGGCTTCAGCAATCAAAGTTGTTAGCTTAGGGGTATTTCTGTCTTTATACCTAGATTAATGTTGTTGATTTGTAATGTTGTGTTAGAACCAGATTTTCTCCTTTCTCTCTTTTTCTCTCTTTCTTCCACCTTTCTACCTCTTTCTACATAACCGATCTCAGACAGATAGAACTCCAAGGCAGGCCGAATCATAACATGGTATCAAAGCCAGGTTGAATCTGTTTAGATTTCTATTCTCTGTGCACCCTATCTAGGGTTTCTCTTGTTTTTTCTGTATTCGACTGGAGATATGGGAAAGGGCTGAAAAGGAGTGATCACCCTCTTCCCTTGGAGGTTTCTATGCCTTCAGTCAAGTCTTGTGTGGTCGGTTGCTGTGGTTTCTAAGATCGCCCTCCCCTAATCGATGAAGAATAGATGGCCGATTTGTGTGGTGTAGTGGCTGTCTTGTGTGGACTGATTTCCTGCTCGTGTGGTTGTTCCTTCAGTGATAAGGTAAGAGATTTCTATGCATGATATTTGTTATGGATCAAATAGGAAGTGTGTTTCAGACCATATGCTAGGGTTTCAGA